GGGGGGCGGAGCACGGAGCGGGGTGGCGGGCGGAGGAGAGGGAAGGTAGCTGAGGCTGGGGGTTTGGCCGGGGGCTGGCGCGGAGTGATGACGCAGAGGCTTTGTACCTGGGGCTCGGCGGCGGTGGGAAGGAAATGGGGGGCCCAGGGCGGTGGCCCAGATCCCCAGCTCCTCGGATGCTGGCGCGCAGCAGTGCCCGGGGTCAATCTGGCTGCAGTCAGTGGTTATCTGCACCTTCGCCCTGGCGCTCCGCCAGGGAGGAGAGTTATCTGTGGCTGGAATGCTTCTGCACCGCCCTCTCCTTTCTCGGGGAGCCCGCAGGGCGGAGATGCTCCCTCCCGCAGGGGGTCTGTGGCCCCCTTCGCTTCTGCAGCTGCAGTCAGGGCCGTGCAGAAAAGCACTGGTAACTGCAGGGGCTGCCCGCCCTGTGTGGCGGAGTGGGCAGGCTTAGAAAGCAGGGGTCCTCTAGGTCTTTGGGTTTCTGTTCTCAAAGCCGTCGGTTACACCTGTGACTGCAGAGTTTGGGTGGGGGCATAATTCTTTTGAAAAATCTTTGTTATGCTATTTTTTTTTCAAACTGTGAAAAACGAAGGAGCCTTTTCCTGTTCAAGAACCAAAATGTGGTCTGTCCTTTTATCATATACTGTGAAACCAGTATATATGGCCCAGCAACATGAAGTGTGTGTGTTTGGTGACCAGGGGAAAATGCTATGATTTTTAGGAAATTAAAAAGAAACAATTTGAAATGCCTTGCTTTTTCCCTCCTGCAGTTAATGGACATTCAGACAAGCGCTGTGTCTGTTACTTATTGCTCAGAAATAACTTTATTATTATTATTATTATTAAAGTAGGTTTAATTTTGCCCCCTCCAATCTGGCTTGAATAAATGCCAGTCAAGGAGATTCTGTAATCAAATCAGATTTTGAATGTTCTGTTAATTAGGAATAAAAGCAAACATTACTTCTGTCCTAGTAACGTGATCTTCTCATATGTGTATCAGTAGTTCAAGTTTCATTTTTGTCTGAAAATGGTTATCAATTTTATTCAGCGAGTTGAATTCAGAGCAGTCTTTAAATTAGTGGGAAATTATTATGTGCACATAAAACACTCTTTGTATATAACTGATGTTAGAACCAGGAAACCTGTGTTTGTTTATCTTGACAGGTACACAAATAAAAGATAAAGTATTTTATGAAACAGATCTTCAATCAAGTATAACATTTTGATGCTTGGCAGCTAGACTTCTTGTGCTCTCACTATGCCAGCAGCAACGGTAGATCATAGCCAAAGAATCTGTGAAGTTTGGGCTTGCAACCTGGATGAAGAGATGAAGAAAATTCGTCAAGTTATTAGAAAATACAATTATGTTGCTATGGTATGCCTATGATCAGATATCCTTAAATGCTTCTTATAAAAGGGGAAGAGGAATTTTAAAAGTCTTGAATTCAACCCTTCTGGTTGATTTATTTTTTTAAGGGATTAATTATGCAAAGGAAATTTTGTCTGTGTCCTCCAACCAAAGACCACAGGAAACATACCTGTGATGTGACAAGTTGGGTTTATTACTTATTGGAGTGAGGGAAAATGCATACCATTGGAGGAAACTTGCGTCAGGCAGTTTTAGGTAGGGATTAAGGAAGCAGGGCTTTTGTGGGAAGCTGGGGTATCTTAACCGTTTGACTGCTAAGGAGCGCTATCGCGCTCTTCTTATGTTACTCCAAAAATGCGAAGAGCGCGGTAGCGCTCTGCATATAAACAACCTACATCATCTACACCAAGCGAAATATTTAGTCTTGAAAAGCTACCTGGACGAAATCTGCGGCGGTGCGTGGAATGCAGCAGTAAACATGGTGGAGAAGTTAAACGTTCAAACCTAATTTGCTCTACTTGTAAAAAGGGAATTCACGCGCTTTGTATAGCAAACCACCCGTGTAAAAGATTATAAGAAATTATTTGTGTTAAGTTTTCTGAATTATAAGTGCTTATTACCAATTTTATTCACAAAATTAATTAAAACAAATTTATGTAAACAATTGGTATTTTTTAATTTTTGTTGTTGCAAAGCAATACAAGTGAGTTTATTGTATAAAAAGTGTTTTACATTTTTTCCCATACATGCGCAATTAGTGCCGCAGTTTTGGCATATGTCCGAAAAAATACATCAGCAGCCAAACGGTTAATATAGTTTTTCTTTTAATTGATTTTGAGAGAGAGGAACGGAGAGAGGGAATGCGAGAAACATGGATTTGTTGCTCCACTTATTAATGTATTCATTTGTTGCTTGTGTGGGGTCTGATGAGATCAAACCTGCAACCTTGGCATGTAGGGTGGACACTAACCAACTGAGCTCCCCAGCCAGGGCAATGTGTTTTAACTACAGTGAAAGAAGACCCAAGTAAGTCAAAAGCTATAAAGAAGCAACAGTCAGTCACTAACCAAGATGGGTGTTTGGTCATTTTCATGGTTTGTCCATGTTTAGTCATGATTACAGAGTGGGCTTGTCTGATGTTGAAGTGTGAAATTGTTTATATTCGACGGAAGAACATTACCTATAAGTGCCAAGTCAGCCCCTAGCAATGCTAAGGCCTAACTGATAATACCAGATCAGCTCCCATAAGCTAGGAAACTCCTGATGTCTTTCTCAAACAAACAAAAAAGGTATCCCAGTGAAACATTGTGGATCTGCAGTTTTGTTGTTGTTTGGTTTTTAATTTTTTAAAAAATTTAACAGTGGAGTTCCATGAACATACTGCTATTCAGCATCTCATCTTGTACATCTGTTATAGCTACTCTACTGTTTTCTAGAAAATTAGCTTTGTGAAGCAAGGGGTTAGTATCTTAATAGTCTTTTGTTCTTTCAACATCTAGCATATCACAGTGCTTCCAATAGAGTGGTTTTTGAGTAGGGAAAATTTAGAGAAGTTTTAATTTCTTTACTGTTTATAGTGACTAGGTATTTAAATTTTGTTCTTAGCTTCCTAATTTGAATTTTAATACTAAACGGATGTATCATTTTCTCAGTATTTTTAAAAAACTTCTTAAGTATATATTTTTATTAATAACTGAGAGGAGGGAGAGGAAGAGAGAGAGAAACATCAATGATTAGAGAGAATCATTTATTGGCTGCCTCCTGCACACCCCCTATTGGGGATCGAGCCCGCAACCCGGGCATGTGCCCTTGACCGGAATCGAAGCTGGGACCCTTCAGTCTGCAGGCCAACGCTCTATCCACTGAGCCAACCAGCCAGGGCAGTATTTTTAATACAAATAAATATACTTCTACGGGGAGGGAAAAGTTGATTGGTTAAAATATGAATATTTGAATGTACATAGGTAATGTTCTGTTTAATAAAGGTGTACATCTTCACAGAATTAAATTTTCTTATTCAATAGATATTGCTAGCGGTCACTTATTTCTCAGATGATAAGGAGTGACAACATTAGAGATGTGATAACATTCTACAGGAGTGTTAGTGGCATGCAATTTTTGATGACATGCTTTCTCTGGAGTATAAAGAGAATACTGTTATAGCTCAAGAAATTAGAAGGGTTTGATGTTTATATAATCCTTGCCTGAGAAAAGTGATTGGAAAGTATGATGCATTTTCCATTCTTATTAACCAGTTCCATATTGGTTTTAACAGAATAGCATAGGTTCCCATACCTCTTGAGAAACATCAACTTAATGATTTTTTTCCTCTTCCTTGGGAATAGAGTACTTGGTTGCATTTATCATGCTATATATAAGTAACTTTTTTACCGATAGGATATTTAA